TTTGGTACCGGAGATCGAACTTGGCTCCTTGCGCTTGCAAGGCAGGCCACCGAACCACTGAGCTAAATCCCCGGCCCTTGTTTAAATGTGTTTTCATTTGCTACCTTTTTTAAAAGTTTAATTACGGGGTTGATACTTGTAAATTATATGTATATTTGCTACGGGGCATCAAACTTAGGACCTTGCACTTGTGAGGCAGGCGCAGTGCCACTGAGTTAAATCCCTGACCCCACGCTTGTAAATTCTGGCAAGTAGTTTTATTTCTAGTATTCAAAACCCTTAGGAAATGACTACTTCTCAGAGGTGTCTTCCAAATGTAGCTTAATTCTGCCTTTTGAGTTTGTTGCAAAATCCTACCTCTACAGTTTATTGGGGGTGAGAAGTTTCTGCCTACTTGGTCTAGCCCCTAGTTCCTTGGCACTGGCCTATAGCATTTTTTAAAAAGACCATTAGGCAATCTCAGTCTTGATATACCAGGCAGAACAACTGATTAGCACAATTATGTTACCTTGGCTGAAGTAGTACAATCAGCAATAACAATAGCATCAAACATAGCCCAGAAAATGACAAACTGTGGTAACTATTAATTTGGCATCTTTAACTGTATGAACTAGATTTATGGTTATGTAACAAAATCTAAAATGAACCAGAAAATTATTTGCAATAAATCATCCCTCGATATGGCTATGTTATCCTTTGGGGGAGATTTAATAGGGGTTCGGGTGGATAGAGAAATAGAAAAAAAAAAAGGGCCAGGGATTTAGCTCAGTGGTGCAGCCAGCACCTGCCTCACAAGTGTAAGGTCCTGAGTTTGATCTCTGGTACCATAAGAGAGAGAGAGAGAGAGAAAGCGCGCGCGCGCGCGAGAGAGAGAGAGAGAGAGAGAGAGAGAGGGAGAGAGAAGAGGGCGCGCGCGCGAGAGAGAGAGAGAGAGAGAGAGAGAGAGGGAGAGAGAGAGAGAGAGAGAAACAGAAGAAAAGGAAGAGATTGGAAGTAAGGCTGGAGGATAAAGAAAGATCAAACAAACCTTGGGAAACTGGTGAAGAAGGAGGTAAAGAGAAGGAAGAAATAAAAAACAAGAACAGAATAGAACAACAACTACAAAAAAATAAACTAGAAACTGTTCATACGTATATAAAAACAAGAACAAACTATCAAGAAAAAAAACCACAACAAATGTCAGAAAAGAGAAAAAAGAAGAAAAGAAAAAAGTCCCATTGAAGGTGTGTCTCTGCTGTCACTGGCAGATAAAGTCCAGCTCTGAGTTGGTGAATCCCAGGAAGCCAGCTGTTGCTTCACAGTGGGGTAGTGGACAATCCGTGCATGCTTGCACCCTTAGTTCCACTGAAGTTCAGTCTGGTTTCTAGCTATGAGTCTGGAACCAGGTTTGTTTAGCCTGCAACAGTCTGTATGAGTCCTGCTGTCTTGAACTCAGCTCCCTGACCTCCTTTCAACTTGAACTCGGCACGCTCACCATGACCCCAGAAGTCACTAGGTGGAATTGGCCTGTAGCTGTTCTGAGTTTCAAGTTCAGGTGGATCTTCGCCAAGACCACTGCCGGCAAATTGCACTCTCCTGGGTGATTTTTCTCCTTTGTTGATTTTTTGTTTTTTTGAGACAGGGTCTTGCCGTATAGTTAAGGCTAGTTTTGAACTCACTAGCTCAGGCTGGCCCTGAACTGGAGTCAATCCTCCTGGCTCAATCTCCTGAGTGTTGGGATCACAGGCGTGTGCCACCACACCTAGCTCTCCTGGCTTACTTCTGAACCTGAATAACTCACCAGCCACTGCAGCCCAATGTATCTACTAGTATGTTTCTCCACTAGTGCGGAGGTGGCTGAGGTTGCCAGCAGTCTCGGTGCATCTGCAGGTTTGACCGGCCCTTCCCATACTGTGAGTCCAGGCTCAGGGAAAGAACACCACCTGCCACCTTCTCTTCCTTGAACTCTTGCTCTTTCTCTCCCTGTGGGCTTCAGTTCTCACTTCAGATCTTTCCTGGGTCCCAGGACACACTTCCCTCCTTCTCCCCACACGGATGTATTCCAGTGTCCGGTTCTTTCTCTGCTGCTCACCACTCTGACATCATCCTAAAAGTCCCCAAAATCTATTTTAAAAAATTCTCACCACCTAAGGAGAAACTGAATCTAAAACCCCCTTCCATTCTAACCCTAAACAATCACTATAATCACTAATCTACTTTTGGTCCCCATATGTGCCAGTTCTGACAGTCTATACAAAATAATCATGCACTATATAGTGTTTGTTTGTTTGTTTGTTGTTGTTGTTTTACCAGGGGTTAAACGTAGGACCTTGCGCTTGCGAAGCAGGTGGTGGAACCATTAAGGTAAATCCCCGGCCTGTGATTAGCTTCTTTTACTTAGCACGTTTTACAGATTTCTTTACGTTGTAGCATATATCATTACTTCCTTTTTATGGCCAAAGAAATTTAGCTTTGTATAGATACCCACATATTACTTATGCACCCTTGAGTTCATAGACATGTGGTTGATATCATCTTTTGGCTATTGTGAATAATGCTACTGTATTCATCAGGACTGTAGAAAAACAGAGCCATAGATCGATCTATCTATCTATCTATCTATCTATCTATCTATCTATCTATCATTTGTTATCTATTTCTCATCTATTACCTTTTGTTCTGTTCAACAGATCACGTGAAGCCCTACTAATGCCTCTGGAAAAGGTGATCTGCTTTCCTCAGTCCACTGGCTCAGATGCTACTCTCACCCGAGACTATCCTCACAGACACATCCCCAGATAATGTTTAACCCTTGCACCCTAAGGCCCATCCAAGTGGAAACAAAGTTAACCATCACAGCTGCTATGAACATTTATTTGTGTACAGAGTTTTGTATGACAGTGGGCTCTCTGGATTTTTGTTTTCTCTTCCTTCAGCTAGTCTGTTGGCAAGTGCATGTTTTATTATTACTTCTTATATCTTACACTTATGCTAGAAATATTATATAGCTATATAGTTCAATAAAACTAAGTGTTCGCTTCTACAGCACATTATTAATAAAACTAATTAGAAAGTATACCTAGTCTACTTTACTCCTGGAAGAGTCTAGAAATTGACAATTACTTTTGGGAGAGGAACTAGATGATTGGGGCCTGGAATGGGGTGCATCTAGGCTAAACCTTTTCATTTAAACAACAACAACAACAACAATACTACAAAAGTATAAATGTATGGATTCCAGCCTGTAGCTCACCAGCTCACCAGCAGGCTAAGGGCGAGGCCCGACCCTGCACGCGTCTCACACCATGTGTGAATGCTTTGGTCCCTTTTGCACTCAGCAACCTCAAGGACAAGAGGGTTACAGGCAGGACTCTTGTTCACTCCCCTTGGTGCCTGACTCTCCTCGAATGTGGTTCCTGACCCTGGATTTCTAACACAGAACACCTTGGATTCAATGAAACTCCAAGCTCCAGGATAAGGACCATTGTGACTTTACTTGCCTCTGTCCTTTGGAGTCCAGTTAGACACTGTGCTAGCCCCATCGGAGACCCCTGCAGCCGACAATTCCTGGACAAGGCTGCGTGCTCAGGAAATATGGCTTTAATTTTGGGTACTGGGGATCAAACTCAGGACCTCGCATTTGCGAGGCAGGGAGTGGCAGCACTGGGTTAAATCCCTGGCCTTGGCTGTTCGACAAATGGTGAACAGAGATCACTATGCTTAAAGTGAGCCCCTTAAAAAGCATCAAAGGCATCCAGGATCCCCACGTTGGGCCTCTCCCCGGGTTCCGGCCAGTGGGGACAGGAGGGAATTAGCTCACTGCCTCCAGAACGAGGACAAGCACCTTGAGAATTGTCCCACTGTGACCCAGAGGTGAGTGCTGTGGAGACGCTGAGAGAGGCTGAATCCCTGTGAGAGCAGCCTGGAGTCACCTATCTCCTGAGACTCCCGAATAAGTAATTTTCCAGTTTGCAATCCAGTCTGCCTGTGTGCTCACAACAAAACTTTGCTTTTTTGGGTGCAGTGGTGCACACCTGTAATCTCAGCTACTCAGGGGGCTGAGGAAGATCACAAATTTGAGGCCAGCCTGGGCAACTTAGAGCCTTGTCTCAATACAAAAACATAAAAATGCCTCTAGATGTAGCTCAGTGCTCTCTGGGTTCAACCCTCAGGATTGGGAAACAAACAACCAAACAAAATGCACTTCAGCCCACATGGGCCACAGTGGAGATGCTAAGATCTCTCCCTGTCTACTTACTCCTTCCTTTCCAGAAAACAACAGTTATAAGTGGGAGAGAGAGAGAGAAAGAGAGAGAGAAAGAGAGAGAGACTTGGGGTTTGGGTGTCTCAAAAGAGCAGCCTCCATCCATGAATGTTGGTTTCCTGTTGGTCTACAATGAGTGAGGGTTCTAACCTATGGGGTGGTTGTTTTCCATACCTCTGGACACGCAGGCTCCTTCTTTTTCAGTGTTGGGGGAATGTGTCACTGACCAATACAATGTTTTTAATCCAGGGCTGCTGCCACTGAAGCTGGTAGAAACGGTCAGCCCACCACTGAAACCATCAGTTCTCGTTTTGAGTTGTGCTGCTTGCCCTTTGCCTTCTGTCCCCATGTCCTGCTCCCCCCACACCCCCTTGACCCTGCTTCTTCCCTTTTTTCCTTTCCCTGAAACTTGGGAGTTTTTGATTGGGCCCCCTAAGTACACCTGCCACCAAAGCCCCCTCAAATCTGCGTGCTGTACCCTCATTTCTCTCACCTGTAGGTGACTGCCACATCTACCTCTCTCTTGGACATGTGCCCCACCTTTGCTTGAAGATAACATTTTCACATATTTGAGTGCTCTCTACCTCAGAGCTGTATCAGCCCTTTAATTTTTATTTGTTAATTTGGGATGAGGTCTCTAAGTTTCCCAGCCTGTCCCACTCACCACTCATGGAGAACAGTGTGGACCAGGAGGCGCCTGGGCTGTCTCCCTGAGCTGATCGAATTTGTTATTTCCCTGCCTCAGTACTCAGAGTGGCACCACACCCCTGAGTAAAACGAAACTCCTGAAGGTCAGTGAGCAGTCAGTGCCACACAACACATCTAGACAGAAGGATGGCTTCCAGGGTAAGTCCCCAGAAAGGATTTTAAAGCTTTTATTTTAAAAAGCAGCAGCAGTTCTGTTAGGAGAGGTTATGTGTGTTTTCCTGTTGGTCGGTAGCTCTGGCACAGGGGGTGACAGGGAACTTGCTGAGGTCTGATGGACTGGCTGTCTCAGACAGTGAGGGAATAACCCAGGGGCTGGGTGGGGAGCCCGCTGTGGCCTGTGAGGGGTGGTGAGTGGGACAGGCCTGGAGGGAGGGTCGGGGAAAATGGCTCACAGCGGTGTGGGAGGCAATCGGGAAGGGTTCTTGTCCCTCTCCACTCAGGGCAACACCAGCCCCTCTGTTTTACTCTCTTCCTCTTTCTGTGCTCCTTTTGCCTTCAGGCTGAGTAACAAACACAATTTGTAAATGCTGGCTGCATCCCATCACCTAGGCTGAAAACAGCTCTTCTCTCCTCCCCACGGTGCAGTTGCTGAGGAGTGATGTTTCTGTTAATATCAGAGAGGGGATTGCCCAAGAGGCATAGCAGAGATTTCATTCATAATCTTTTGCTTGAGAACACTGTTTTCTTTAATTGCACAAAAAAATCGGAGTACATTCACCTTGTTTAAGAAACCAAAACCAAAAGCAAAATCAAAACCATTAACTTGGAGGACAAAAGCCACTTTACAGTGCTACCTGTTATAGATAACCTCCCTCTAGGTAGCTTGGTGTGTGCTCTGCCAGATGCTTTGCTATGCATTTGGTTTGTAGCTTTGGGTTTTGTTGAGGTTTTTAATTGGATTCCCTGAGTTCATTTCATCTAGAATATGCTTGGATCTTTTCATTTCTGTACCAGTATTTGCAAAAGCCTATTTGATGGGTTTTAGGCTAGGTACAGTTGTCATTCTCCTCTCTCTCTCTCTCTCTCCCTCCCTCCCTTCACTCCTTCCTCCCTTTTCCTGTCTTTTTCTTTTTCCCTTTGTGCTGTGGTGTTAGGGATTGAAGCCAGGACCTTGCACGTACTAATCAAGAGCTCAACCAGTTAATATTCTTTTTACTGCTCCAATCTTTGGTCAGGCTGAGCTAATTCTTGCAGTCAGAGTCTTTCCCTTCACCCATGTCTACTCCTGACTTTTCCACTCTCAGCAGTTTGCTCACTCCCTGGTCAGGATGGACTGGCCCCATGTGACCTGGCTTAGCTGGTTGTGGGGTGGGGGATGGTAATGGCTGGGCTCAGAGTGTTCCAGAAATAGAACTCCTGTGGCAAGGGCAACATGCAGCTGCTCATGCAAAGTCCAGAAGAGCTCCTTCCACCAGCAGTTCCAACCATATCCTGTCGTTTTTGCCCTGGTTTTGGTCTAGAACCCAGACTTTATCATCTTCAGGATTTCCTGGAATTGCTAAGTGTTCCATGAGTGTTGGAAATGTCATGGGTGTATGTGTGTGTGCACCAGCCCTCACCACTGCTCTGCCGGAACACTTAACTACTGGAATGGTAAACTCTCAGCTCCAGGAATGAATTAAAGAGGCAGAGTTTAAAATAATAGAAGATGATCGCTTCTCGGCCTTTTGGCTAAGATCAAGTGTAAAATAATAGAAGATGATGTATTTGGAAAGAGATGCAGAAAAGGAACCTACCTCACTCAGAGTAGCAAGGGATATCAGAAGTTAATATCCCTGGTTTTTTTTTCCCCTCAGCTCTTTTTTTTATTTAGGACTAGTGATTTCTCACATCACCCATGCGGGCACTTGCAAGATGCTGCCATCCAATTGGCCCTGTGGCCATCTTTGATCCTAACCTGAGCACCTCTGTCTACATTCTTTTCAGCTGCCCTTTGTGATGGATAAGTGTGGGGGGTGGGCTTATGGAAAGGTTACTTAGAAATAAGAACCAAACACAGGGCACACGTGCCTAACCAGTGCAGGTATGGTGATGTTAAAGTGAGACTATTAGTATACATGTCCAGATGTGTGTCTATAGGGGTCAAGCATTCAGCAGTGCTGGTGCATTGGGCTTTGGAAGTTGGAGCTTTGTAATTCATTTGATTCGCTCAGGCCCAGGCACATGGCAAGTGGCCCTCAGTGAGGTATTTAGACCTCCTTGGGACTCATAGGGTCACTGGCTGGCCGAAAATTGCCTCATGCATAAAATGTGCTCCCAGCCTGGCTTGCCTACATCAATCCACCACACTCCTGTGCTACGCACCCACTGCCACAGTCCCTCCGTGACACCCTCTCTCTCTCCTCTGTGTTCCTACGTACCTTTCCAGTTCAACAATCCTAATATACGGAGAGGTTCCCCAGCTGTGTGAGGAGAACTCCTCCTCCCTGTACCCCGCAAAGTGATGAACAGGTCAGAGCCTGTAGGGTGGCCTGGGGAGTCCTTGCAGGTCAGGTTCTAAAATATCCCTGCAAAAGCTAATCTCCATCTGTCTCTGTTTTTTCAGTCTCAGTCCAGACCAAGACTTGGAGACCTGATTGAGATTCGTCGCTTTGGCTACGCTCACTGGGCTGTCTATGTGGGAGACGGCTATGTGGTTCATCTGGCTCCTCCAAGTAAAGATGGCTCCCTTTTTAAACACAGGGCTTGAGAAGGAGGGTGTGAGCGGATGCAGAGTTATGTCCTGGACCTTGTTCTGCCTGGCTGAGTAGGCACTCAGTAAATATTTACTGAAAGAATCATGCTTTACCCTGAGTGGCGTTATCAACCGCTATTCCTCCTTATTAGTAACTGGGGAGAAACTTCTGACTTGTATTCCATTACAGGTTGGGGTTCAGTCCAGACCAACCCATTATAGTTTTTTTTTTTTTGGTAGTAGGAATCAAACTCTGGTCCTTGTGCTTACGAGGCAGGTTCCAGAACCACTGAGCTAACTGCCCTCCCACCCCGCCCCAACCCATTATAGTTGATTGGCGTCTCTCCATAGGTCCAATATTCTACAGTGTATATTTATTTTTCTGGAGGTGCAAACAATAGTTAGAAGCAGTTACTTCCTTCTAACATTTGAGCACAATGTAAAGTGTAATGAAAGGAGTATGGCCTCCACACTCCAGAGAGCCGGTTTGGAATCCTACGTCCCTTGCTCACTGACTGTGGGACTTGAACTGCGGCTTTACGTTACTAGGATAAGCAGTATGCTCCAAAGTGCAGGGGTTGGTACACTGATCTTTCAGGTTGGTGGAGGTGAAGAAGAGCGTGTGGGAGGAAAGCAGCCAGGCCTTGAAGCCATCTGTTCTGGTTTGAAGCATCATGGTATTAAAGGAAAAGCCGAAACCTTGGGAACTCCTCAAGTGCACAGCGCAGGGAGTTTGTGAAATCAAACAGATATACTGCACTTGCGTATAATGGCATCAATGGCTTATACATACATGGCCATTAAAAGAAGTTGGATGGCAAATGTACAGTTAGAGAACTTAAGTTTTGTTGTTCATACAGCGGTTCACAAACCCAGAGACTTTGAAACAAAATGTAGCAGTTTTTATAGCTCAGTTGATAAGGCGTGAGGGGGAAGTGTATTTCTTCTTACTGTGATTGGCCTTACACTCTGTGAAATGGACTGGTGTGTTGAAAGGGAATTTCTAGGCCGATGGATATATTTCTAACAAAAATAACTAAATCGGACAGCAATGAGTTAACTGTTATTAAGCAACTATGGGTTAACTAGGTAACTATAGTACCTGAGTAGCTATGATAACTTCTGTAATTTGTCACCACACCAGCATAAAGAACTCAGAAAGTCTTTACTCTGTCCCTTCTCTGCAGCTCTGCTTTGTATAAACTCTGCTTCTGCTTCTGTACCTCCTGCTTTGCAACCCTGTAAAACAGCCAGGCTGCCGGTATTCTGAGACTGATTTCTTTGGAAGTGATCCCAGTCAGGTCTGTCCGTGTAATGAAAAAGTTGAACACTGCCTCCTGCCTCCTGGATGTCTTCCTTTCCTGGATTCAGTTTGTTATGGCAGTGTAAACTATCTTGCTTATAGCTGACTGGCTGGGGAAAAATAAGGTCATAGTGTCTTTGCAGGTTTGTTTCTAGGAAGAGGTAGCCTTTCCAGGAAATCTGCATGCTTTCAAGTTTGACAGTGGTTTTAATATTCAAACTGTGGCTTTCACTTTCGTTTCTGTTTAGCGATTATCTTTTTTTTTTTGTTCTCTCAGTTAGACCAACAATGTGGCCTATGGTCGAGCATCACCCTGGTCACCACAGGTTTTTCATGTCCAGCTTCATTACAAAACAGTATCAAAATTGTCAGATCCTTCTGACAATTGGAGCTAATGTAGTTTTTATTGCTTAATTCTCATAGATACCATCTGATGATTGAGTATAAGTCTCTTGAGAATATGCCACACCTAAGGAACATTATCTATGCGATTAATAGGAAGTAATACTCTTTCAAAAATATCCCACAGCTGAGGTGTCCAAGAGGCAACATTTAGCCAACTACTTAAACAGATCTACTGATTGTTTCTTTGATTCCGTGAACTATCTGGATTCCATCTTTTAGATCTTTTAAAAAAATAATTAAAGTGTATTATGTACATTTACCAGCTCCCCGCAAGGAAAATAAACAGGGTATACTATGAACATGCACTAATAAAATGATCAGAAAAAAGGGTTGGGGATATAGCTGACTGTAAAGACCCTGGATTCAGTTTTCACCATCTCCTTTTCCAGTGATACTTTTCTACTATGGTCAAATATACGTGGCATAAAGTTTCCCATCTCAACCATTTTGAAATGTTTAGAGCAGGAGCACTCAGTACATTTCATCGTTCCCATCCATTTTTAGAACTGTTTCATGTTCCCCAACCGAGACTACATCCGCACTTACTCCCCTTCACTTTCCTCCCAGCTCCTGACTTGCACAGTCTGCTTTCTGTTCCTGGGAAATCCGCCTCCTATAGGAGCCTTGTATCAGTGCACTGTCCAGTATTGGACCTTGTTGTGGGCTTAGCTCACTCAGTGTGATGCCCTCAAGGTGCATGCAGGTTGTAGCACTGGCAGAGTTTTCTCCCTTTGTTTGCTTCGTAGAGGTCACATGTGTTTATCTGCCCATCCATCAGTGGACACTCGAGTTGTTTCCCCTTTGAATTACTGTGCGCAATGCCATGATCACAGCTACGGAAACGTACTCAAGACCCAGCCTTGACCTCTTTTGTGTGCGTGTCCACTCGTAGCATTGCTGAATCACGTGGGATGCTTTCATTCAAGCCAAGATGAGGCAAGGAACTAAGGGTTCCGTATTTTGCCATCTGCTTCTATCACTCAGGCCTCAAAAAAGGTCATGGGTAGACATTGTTATAACTGAATGGGAGTCGTCTGCTTGCTGACACTTCTTGTGTGGTACCACAGATGGGACCTAGGGCCTGTGCATGCTACTGTCACAAGTGCTGTGCACTGAGTGACGCCTCCAGCCATTGCTGGTTCTCTTGGTGTGAATAAATCTCATTGATTATGGAGAGAGGCAGGAAGCACTGTGTGTGAAGGCTTTGGAGTCTGCATTGCCCCTCATGTCTGTGTCACTCACTGAACTTGCATGTCTCGTAACCTCTTTGTGCTCTTTCTCCTCAGCAGTAACGTGGGGATCATAAGTTTACATCTATCACTAAACTCTGAGGTTTGAATGTATTAATATCCACACAGCATTGATACAAAGGCCTGTGCTATACAAAACACAGGGTAAAGCTGAAGTGAATATATTATGGGAGCCAAGGATTTTTAAAGTCCTATTTATTACCTCAGATTTTACCAAACAATACTTCTTTTCTTGTAGGTGGTTCATCGTTTTTTGTTGGTCTTTTCCGGTTAGTTGGGCATTTCTCTTTCCCTGTCGAATGTTTCCTGTTCTCTGAAGAATATTTATCATTCCACCTTTGAAATGTGGAAAATGATCCTTGACACACACACACACAGGGCATGTTCCTTTAAGTTCCTGCAGCTCCATTTCATGTTTCATGTTAGGTGAATGGAATTTACTGTTCCTGATGAACAGAGGGCTTGAGGTCAACTGGCTGCGCTTATATTTATCTGTGTTGGCGCTTAGCACAGCATGGCCTCAAACTGGAGATCATCTTGCAGAAGCTTCCCGAATGCTGGGATTACAGGTGTGCCCTCGACTTTCTCCTTTTATCTCCTCAAGTTGTAGTGGTTGCTCCCCTGGCCTGTGGACTGGCGCGCTGACGCCCTAGGCAAATGTGTGCTGGCTCAGGTTGCTGCTGCGAGCGCCCAGCCTGGCTATGCTGGCCTGGCTCTGACAGGGGAGAGAGGGCACTGAGGAGGAGCTCCAAGCTGACCGCGATGGCTGCGCGCCAGGTCGCTCCGGGTGGAGGGCGCGGCCCTTGGGGGCTGAGGGCATGAGAGGAGAGCCTGGCGCTCACGCCCCTGAACCCCGCCTTGGCTGCCGGACTTTGTCATCTCCCATCCTCTAGATCTTTAGGATGCTGGGCTACAAGTCTTCATTTATTGACCTAGAAGCAGTTTGTTTTTCCAAGAAGAGCACAGGCTCCTACCTATTGAGAAGTTAGGGTATCAAGAACACTTCTGTTGTGTAAGACTGTGGGAGCTAAACTGCTTCCGTTCAATTGTGTTTTTCCTTTTTTTTTCTTCTTCTTCTGTCTCCCTAGCCTCTTATTATTATTATTTTTTTTGGTACTAGGAGTTGAATTCAGGGTCTTTGCACTGAATGTCGTCCATAGTTCTGAATTACTATTATTATTTTTTTACTATTAGTATTTTATTTTTGGAGGACAAGGTTCTTTTTAGTTGCCAAGGTTAGACTCAAACTTGTGATTCTTCTGCCTTGATCTTCAAGAGTGCGAGGATTATACCACACCCTGTTTCAGACTATATTTCTTTTTTTTTTTTGAGAAGTATTGCTCTTTTATGTAACTGATAATACAACACTGTTTAAACAATGTTCATATAATTTCAAAGCTTTGTAGCATAAAACTTACATGTGAATAATAGTTATTTGCTACAGAATATCTGTTTATTTATTTAAAAAGTCTTGTATCAGATTTGGACCATGGCTCAATATATTGTTTATAAAATAATTTTCACTAGTTATAACCCTTGCTGGGAATACTTGTTACTAAAGTATACATTTATTTAGAAGTTTATTTATAAACTTTCCAAAATGAATAATCTGATATTGAACAGAAAGAAAAGATCTGATAAAAATTTTCCATATTTATAAATTCACAGTTTACCCCACCACAACTTATATGCTGCTAAGTGAAGGCCTGTGGCTTACAGTTTTCTCACATTTATAGTCGCATAATTTTTCACAGGCATGGATTTTCATAAGTTGGTTGAGGTGTGCACTCTGGCTAACGGCTTTCCCGCGTTCATTACATTTATATGGTTTTTCTCCTGTGTGTGTTCTCTCATGTTAAGATGTGTCCCCCGGCTGAAGGCTTTCCCACAAAAACTACATTCATAAGGTTTCTCTCCAGTATGAAGTCTATGATGTTCACTAAGAGATGTGGTGCGCCTAAAGTCTTTACCGCATGGATTACAGCTGTAGGCTTCTCTCCAGTATGGATTCTCAGATGCTGA